GTGGTGTCACTACAAATGTCATTGCAAATAAATGTCACTGTCATTATAGCAACGTTACTGACTTACTGTAGCATTATTACTGTAGCACTGTTACTTTCAGTCACATTTGGGGAAATAAAATAAAATGTCACTTTTTTTGATAATAGAAAACGTACCTATGGTTTGGGTAATTTTCAGATAGGGGCATGTGTTTCATTTTCTAACAAAGTGGGGTATGTGTTTCAATTTCGTTATCATAGCAGGGGCATGGCGTCTAACGTCGTTAGAAAAATTAACCCCGATTTTAAAAAGTCTCTGAAAAATTAAAAGAAAAATACTGGGAGGTGTGCCTTGTCAGGGAGATCAACAAACTATCTTTATTTATTTGTTTCCAGCCACCATATCTCCAGAAAGTCCATCAGAAAATTGATATTAGCAACAAAAAAATTAAAAAACAATCCAAATAGAGCCAAAAAAATCCAAGGAGGGACGGGTGGGGGACCCCCCTTTGAAAAACGCGCAAACATAAAGTTTTTCTGAGGGGGATCCCTCAGTGATATACCGGGATACCGCTAGTGGTATATAGAGAGAAGTCAGAGCAATAAGTAAGAGAGATGAAGTGTGGTGGTAATTAATTCGTAATGGTCCGTTAAAAGCGTCCAAAGGGCGCTATTTATACTAGTCATAAATGCTAGGTGCATTAAATTCACGTACACGTGTAAGCTAGTCTATGATGGAGGGCCTCCCCACCAAGGAGGTGTCTGCACGTGGCACCACATTAAATGTGGTGGTTGGGCTTTAGCAGAGAGAGGCTTCTGTCGGGAGAAAAGGCCTTCGATGCCGGGGCCGAAGGCTGACCAAATTTCCCAGTGGTGTTGTTGGACCAACAGCAGTCGTGTCATTGAGTTTGAGGCCTTCGATACTGATGCCGAAGGCACCTCGCAATATAGTATGGGCTTCGTGTAGCTTGGGCCACCTGGGCCTGTTTGTGGTAGTAGAAGTATGTGAGCCAGGGGGGTTCCTGGGCCATAGACTCCATCATGTTTTTTTTTTCATACGTTGAATTGTGTCATAATTAAAATAAGTAAGGTTCGAGATATTTTCTGATTGAATTGGCTTAAGTTACTCAGGATCACCGGTTTAGCTATTTTTTAATATAAGTTTTTCTTTATTTTGTAAATAAATATATTTTAAATTTTTTTTTTAATAATTCAGCAAATTCATTCGGTTCATATATAATTTCATCAATTTCAACATATTGAATCCATTTAATCAATTTGACACTATTTGAGTGTTTTTTTTTTTTGAAAATATCAATTTGAGTGTTATGAAATGGGATCCTAAATGTGAAGGTCAATTCGGGTTTGCTTTTAGCTCGATAATGTTCGTGAAAAAAGGGAGTGAAAGTACGTAAAAACAACTCAAAAGAAGCCAAAATAAAGCATATACTCAATATACCATCGAAGTCAGATACATTGCTCAAAAAAAGGTTTCAATTCATAATTGCAAAGACATCTGAAGTAAAATTCATGAATGGAACAGATGAGATCGATGGAAATCTGCTTGATTAATTAATCAATTATATTGATGCAACCCGCGGGTGGTCCTCCTTTTCCGTACACACTCTCGTTCTTCTCCTTTTCACCGACATAACATCAAATTGATCGAATTCCGCACATGTTTGTGGGTTTTGAGGGTCAAATCCGGTCAATTCCACCATCACAATATAAACGCCGGCCATTCATTCATACATGTATTCCATGCAAATAGTAGTGGCCCATTATTGTGCTGAATTAGCTGTACTTAGCTGTTTGATCACACGATCTAATGCCTATTCATAATGTTCGGTGAACAGTTTTTTAATACTATCATCAAACACTATTTTTCACATTATCCAAGTTTTAATTATGTTTTTTAAAGTAGGTTTTTAATTTATGTTTAAAGTTCTGATTTAGTTTCCTTCAAAAAAAAAAAGTTCTGATTTAGTTACTCTGTAATTGTACCCTCTTTCAATAATCACTTAAGAACTATTCAAAACAAATTGTAAATTAATAATAATAACAATGTCATTATAACACGGAGTAACTATATAATAAATTGAAAAAATATAGATAAAATAAAAACAACTTCTTCGTTATAATAGTGATAATATACTCTCTCTGTACCATATTTAAGTTCACACTTTGATTTTACACAGATTAAGAATATAAATTTGACTTTACTGTGGAGTGCACTGTTTGACACTGTTTTGCACTGTTTTGGTGTAAATTTGTTTGCTAAAATGGAAGTGTGAACTTAAATAAGGGATATCCTGAAAAGGAAAGTGAAAACTTAAATAGGGTACGGAAGTAGTAATAATCTAATACTACCTCCGTCCTATTTTATGTGTCTCACATAGATTTGACACTCGGGGATGGGGTGTATCCTTTTTTTCACTTAGATTTGACACAAATATTAATAAAGTGGTTGAAAAAGTAAAAGCTGTGATTGAGATTTGAGTATAATAAAGTGGAATGATGTGAACCACATATCCCTTTCCATAAAAGGAAGTGAGACACTTAGTTTGGGACGACCCAAAAAAGAAAGTGAGACATGTAAAATGGGATGAGAGAGTACTATTTTATACCTGCACCACATGCAATGTACATTGATAAATTTGAAATGGATTTAGGGTTAAATTGAACATGTTGGGTTTTGTGTCAACGGATAGTATGGTTAGGGTTAGTGTGTTGTGATGATAAGGAGTGTGAATAGAATTGTTTAGAATACAGAGTGAAATCCTGGTTGTAGGCTTGTAGCTAGATCTATCCGCGGTTGGAACGCGAACCAAAACCAAATTGATGGTAGGCGGTTCTGAAAACTATGAAATCAGAAGTGGAACGGCATAGTAGCAGTTTTAGAGCCTATTTGGTAGCACAAAAATCTGCTGATTTGGCTGATTCTGCTGAAATTTATGAAGTCTGGGTGAAGTGGCTGCATTGGCTAATTCTGCTGATTTAAGAAAAAATTATTTTAAAATATTTAATATTAATAAAATAAAGAAAAAAATATATGTAAAAATAGCTAAATTGATCATCTATAATAACTTTAGCCAATACAGCTAGAAAAGTAACTTGAACCTTATTTTTTCTGCTTATTACACAATTCAGCGCGCGAAATCGAAAGTTACGTGTTTGGTGAAAAAGCTGGTTGATAAGCCAAAAAACAGTGTTGCCAAACGGCCTCTTAGTTCGATTTTGAACCGGTTGTTCCGGTTCTGGTTGATAACCCATCGGTTCCGATTTTGCGATTTCGGTTCCTCTTGAACCGGAAACTAGGGACGGGTGTAGTTGTACGTAGCTGTGATAAGATAATGTTTTAGCAACTCAGCAACTGTAAATCATACACTCTATATCCCGCTAATATTGTCCATCTTTCATTTTTGGTCTGTCAAACTAAGATTGTCTCATATCAAATTTAGTAAAATTTGTATGGTTCAAAATCTTTTTTACTTTATACTTATTTTATGAGATTCTTCAATATATATAATCACACAAACTCATTTTTATTAATAATTGCACCATCTCATTATATATATATATATATATATATATATATATATATATATATATATATATATATATATATATATATATATATATATATATATATATATATATATATGTCCTAGAATGAATCTACTGCGATGGATATGGTATAAGGGCCGTTCTTGGTGTACACAAAATGTGTACAAAAAATTGTACATTGTCCATGTGCACAGGCAAAAAATTGTACTCATATTTTGCGAATAAGAACATGACAACCTATTTTGGAATTCTCGAATAGGGCAGTATTTTCGAAGCATGACAATAATTATTCCTATTTTGTGAATAAGAACAACTTGACAACATATTTTGAAATTCCCAAACATTTGTATTCCTATTTGAGGACTTTTTCCTTAATTGTATTACTTATTACTTATATATTCATATTTATTGATCGTTTTAAACTTTTACATGTTAACTTCATCACCAACCATTAATTAACCAAAACTTTTACTTCAAAGTGCTAACTAAAAATGCTTATGAGTTAAAACCCCAACTAAATGCTTATGAGTTCAACCAAGTCTGAAAGGGGTGGAGAATTGAATTAGGATTTTTTTGGACAATTCTTTCTAAGATATATAGTATCTGCTCAATGTTAATGTCAACATCCTTGAACTGGGACGAGATTCGAACCTGTGACCTCCACCTTGGGAGTGCCACGGTGATATCATCAGATCATAAGGTACTTGGCATTGAATTTGGATTTAACATAGTAAAAGTTTCCGAAATATTAGTAAATGAGTTATGGGGTTTTTAAATAGGACTGCTATGTTATCTTCCCGAAATAGTAGTAGTATGGTGATATCCATTGTTATCTTGAAGTCATTACTGTCAAATAGTTGTAATACTAAACATTAAACATATCAATATTTACTACTACCTCCGTCCCACTAACACTACAACACAAATGAGTGACACGATTATTAAGAAAGTGAGTTCATGTGATTAATATTGAATTGATAAATTAAGAATGAAGTAAAAATGATTTAGAGTCATACAAACTTTACCAAAATTGATATGAGACAATTTTAGTTTGATTTTTTTAAATGAAAAAATGGACAATCTTAGCAGGACGGAAGGAATATCACAAGTATTTGTATTTTTTTTTTTGGTAAAATTTGTTTGTATTTTTTAATCATGATAACAGTTCTATTTTGAAGTTTGAGTATTCCATCTCTTAAAGAACGCATAATATGGAATTGGAAGTACGGAGTATTAAAACTTTGATTTGAATTCTTTTTTGATAGATTCTATGGTATCCTTAAGGTAACATACATTTGTCCACATAGATCAATCAGAATAATGCAGTTGAATTATTTAAATCTAAATTAATAATGATATAATGGTGTAGTCCAATCAAATGATGACAGATATAATGGGTTGAATGTCCTTTTTTACTCCCGTAATCCTTTTGGTCATGGACTCATGGGTTGAATGCAAATGTCCATTTCAGGCGTAGAAAGTACGTACTCTGATTCATACACACGTGTGGGTGTTAGTATATGAGCCCAGGAAGCACCGTCAGAAATTCGGAGAACAAACTCATCCATCCCCTCTCCCTGTTCCTCCATCTCCTTTTACACCAATTGCCTTCTTCAATTTCTGCCAGTCATGCCTGCAACCTCCCTGGACCCCTTGGATATTGCTGTTCCTGTACCCTACCATTTCCGCTGCCCGATTTCCTTGGAGCTTATGACGGATCCGGTGACCGTGTGCTCCGGCCAGACGTACGACCGGGGAAGCATCCAGTCCTGGTTGGCCACCGGGAATACGACGTGTCCGGTGACCAGATCTCCGCTCACCGACTTCACCCTCATCCCCAACCATACTCTCCGGCGGCTCATTCAGGAGTGGTGCGTCGCGAACAAGGCGTTCGGAATTGAGCGGATTCCTACGCCGAAGCTCCCGGCCGAACCGGCTCTCGTCCGGTCATTGCTCAACCAGGCGTCTTCTCCGAAGAGCCATTTGAGCACTAGAATTGCTGCACTGATGAGGCTGAAAGCAATTGCACATGAATCGGAGAAAAATCGATCGGTTATTTCGGCGAATAAGGCGCGGAAAGTCCTGATTTCTGTTTTATTCTCAGAGGCGCGGGATCTGATGGAGTCGTCTGAGCTCCGTCATCAGTCGCTTGCGGTTCTGGCGATGCTCCTTCCCCTCTCGGAGGCTGAGTCCGGTCTCGTGTCCTCCAATCCCGTCCGAATCGGTTACCTCGTGTCTCTGCTTTCGAATCCTTCGATTCAAGTCCGAATTGACTCCGCAGCGGTGATAGAGTCTGTTATCGTCGGGACGAGATCGGCGGAGCTTAGGGCTCAAATCAGCAACGTCGACGGAATCTTCGAAAGAATAATCGGGATTATCAGTTGTCCGTTGGCGTACTCGAGATCCGTTAAGGTCGGGGTGAAGGCACTGTTTGCGCTGTGCCTGACGAAGCAACACCGGAACAAAGCGGTGGCTGCCGGAGCGGTCGAAACATTGGTAGACAGGTTGCAGGATCTGGACAAGTGTGACGCCGAAAGAGCGCTGGCCACGGTGGAGCTACTATGCCGGATTCCTTCTGGATGCGCTGCATTTGCAGCTCATGCACTGACTGTCCCTCTACTCGTCAAGACAATAATGAAGATCTCGCACAGGGCGAATGAGCACGCCGCCGGAGCTCTGCTTTCCATATGCTCTGCCTCCGAGGAAGCTCTGCGAGGGGCAGCGGCGGCGGGGGCTATGACTCAGGTGCTGCTGCTCGTCCAAAGCGATTGCACAGAACGAGGGAAACGGAAAGCGCAAATGCTGCTGAAGCTGTTGCTCCACAGTTGTTGGCCGGAGGACCTCACCGCAAATTCAGTGGATAGGGATTGCAGTGAGGTTGTTCTATTTTGATGATACCAATTCATTCTGATGATCTGATAGTCAGTTAACCAATATTGTAAATTCAAGTTCATACTATCGTATTTCTTTTCTAAAAAAAAATCTGTAAGAATAGTGCGTTTATATGTTAGTTACGTTAGCCAATCCAGTAATCTCACTGACCTCTGTAACAAGGAATTGAATTTGCCTTTGAAAACAACTATTCTTATTGATGAAATGCATCTAACAACTTGTCATACTCTCATACGGAGTAGTTATCAATTTATCATAGTAGTTATCAATTTTATTCTGTAACAATGGAAGGAAGGGGTCATGTCCACCCTTCTTGAAGGGATGAATAAAATTGTATGTTGCAATGCCAAATACAACATATCCACTAGATATCTAGCCCAACACACAGAAGTTGAGACCTCTACACGACTGCTGCGAGTTTTGATGCTTGATCATTCTTTCAACTTTCTAACGTAACCGTGTAACCAACTAAGCAACTCATGCGAGTAGATTGTATTAATAATATTTCCACATAAAGAATTTATTAAATACTAAAGGGTAATGATAATAAATATGTGATAAAATGAAAGTAGTGACAAAAATATGAGTTTTATACTTTAATAATTTAAAAAATAACTGTACTGATCATGACTATATTAAATTTTACACAATAGTAAGTATAACGGAGTACTCAATAACTTTTAGTCATATTTATTTTCATATGTCTTACTCTTCAAAAATATTTTAGGAACAACCTCTGCTACATAATATCTTACTCATAGCACTTAGGAAAAAGATAGACTTGGGTGCAAAAGGAAAAAGTGACAGTGTTGACATAAGAGGAACACATCGATTGATCAAAACTACTCCCTCTTAGTCGATTCTACTACTCTACTAAGAGTAATAACGACTCATGATGAAGCCAGGACAAGGACTTGGGCCTAGGTGCTAATCCGCCAGGACAAGGACTTGGACCTCGAGTCCAGGTCCATGATTTGGACCGACAGATCAAAGCTCAAGTTCAGTGTTTCACCAAGCCAGCCAAATCAGGGGCTCATCGGCTAAAGTGCTCGGCTCGATCGAGCAAACTAACACATTATGAAAAGCAAGCCGAACAAGGAGAAAGTCCAAAATAGCTGGCATGCCATCCTGGACGACCTAACAGCCCAACCGAGAGGGTGGATACCAGCCTAGTCAAGAGCAAGATTGTCAAAATTGCTATTTGAATCATCAAATCGTAAGATTTTACGATTCAATGTCTTAATATCAATTTGAATCGTAAATAAAATCAAAATTAGTTACATTTTAATGTTAGTTACATTTTAACACGCCACGCGGTAGAAATTTGTTGATCTAGGTAATCTCCAATGCAACCATAAGAAAAAATTGCAATCACATCCTTTCGCAGTCCTATGATTATGTGATTAATAGTAAAATGATAATGTAACAAATATTAAAATATGACTAATACTAATATGATAATGTGGCTAATATGACTAATATGAAAATGTAACAACTAACAAGTATGAAAATGTGATGATTAGTATTCTTAATATATACAACAAAATGTTAATAATATATATATATATATATATATATATATATATATATATATACACATTACATTGTTCTAAAACTCGCTAGGCGCTAGTTGTGAAGTTGAGGGGCGCCTAGGCGCCGACTAGGCGGGCGATTAAGCCGTTTTTTTTATCAGCTATGTGCCGATTAGTCCTCTATAGTTACACCACTTAGCACCTATGTGGCGATTAATCGGTGTGACTAGATTGATTTTTAGAAATTCGATATAACTATACTACTATGAGATGAGTGGTATAATCATATTTAACACTTTATGGTATACTTACTATATATATTAGTATATAATAGTATTATGGGTAAGAAAATATAAAATTAAATAGATATACCTATTATATATATATATTGATTAAGGATCATATACAAAACCCTCCTAATTTACAAAATGCAAATAAATCATGGTCATCAAATTTAACTGATCTGCCGTGCATTTGATCTGGATTGGTTTGGACAATCGAGGGCTCATTAGTCTTTTGGGTTTTGTCATTTATGGAAAAAATCTCATTTCTTTCAATAACCGTTGTGGCCTTTGATTATTTCCTTTTTCTTCCATGTTGGTCGATAAAAAATTTACACCATTCCATCAAAGCCGGACTCCATCGCCATTTTCATCGACCAAGAGTTTACGCCCTTCCCATAATTGCTTCTTGATTGTAAGTTTGTAATCAAACTTTATTCTCTGCTATGTCCATCTTAAAACTTCAATCGATCATTATCTCCATCTCAAGCCCCTTTTTTGTTATTCGACCTAATACAACTTAATCGCAACAGATCTATTGTTTATGAAACACCGTAGATTCAGGTATGTTGTATGCATGATGAAGAACATTAACTTTTGATTTTAGCTTGCTATTATAGGCATTTTCAGAATTTCTTCAACTTATTGAAACTCTTTGTGTTCAGTTTTTTGTAATACGAAGTAATTGTTAGGGTTCAGTGTCTCCTATTTTATGTATTTGAAATATTATCCAGTTTCCTAAACTTCATTTTGAAAAATGTGTAGTTGTTTACTCTTCCAATATTGTTTTTGAATTAATTTATAGAATTTGATGTTTCAATAATAGAATGCAAATGGTGTGTTACTGAATTTGTTGTTAAGTTGATTATTCTTGAGTTAAATGAATCATAAATTTATTTTGTGATACAATATGCATTATTTGTAGGTGTACGATGCATTAATTTAGTATTATGTAACAGTTAATTAAATATGTCTTTTTTGTTGTTAGTTAACTTATTTCACTTGCAACTCATTATTAATTGAGTCAAAAGTGGTCACTAGTATAGACACACATCCACTCCTTTCTAGAATGTACCAAATTGTTTAATTTGATTCTATGAAACAAATAGATTTGTTTCAATCAACTTCTTCTTTGATTTTTATGTTTGACCGTTACCTGCATCTTACTACAATATTTTTAATCTGCATGTTTGAATTGAATTGTTTTTACTTGTCTGCTTAATTAATGCATAACCTGTCTTCCTTGCTATATTCACAGCTCCAATATCATTTTCATCCCTTCACAGGCTAAAAGTAAGTGCTCTGTTAGAAGAATCAAGTCTTTCAAGGGATGACTTTGAAGACTCAAAATGTCCCAAGAAGCTCTATAGATTGTATAATGAGATGCTTGGGATTGCTTGATCACGATAGCTTGAATTGTCCATTGAACAAATATAACTTCATAATATCATTATTCTATGTACTAGTTTTTTTATGCATTTTGATTTCCTATATAATGGTATGTACATTGTAAACAAGTTGATGAAATCAATCTATCTTTACTTTTGTTTGTTGTATGTGATTATGTATGATATGTGCTCATACAATTTCATATTGATATATTGCTTCTATTATTATATTAGCATTTGTATTGTGTTGACTGACGATGCATATTGCCCGTACTTCTTTTGAATAAATGGATTCATGGTTTGCGATGTCTTCTCGGACTACTATGATAGTACCACATTTAAATGCATTATAATATGCACTTCTCATCACACTTAACTGCATTATTAAACAAATTGATATGCACAATATGTTCTCCTATTGGACAAATAAACGTTGTCTCATAAATGAGTTTTTATATAATATATTTACTGACAGCCAATTTACATTACAATATGCAATCCTCTTCACATTTGAATGCATTTTTAAATTCATTTATATGCCTAATATGTTTATCTACCCATGAAATAAATCTTGAATTGGTCCAGTTATATTTGTAATGCACCCACTATATTAGTCTGCTATGTGAACGAAAACTTTGCACTGCCCGATTGTAACACTTGAGATTTAATATAAATGCATTAATAGTACTACTCATACCACCAGAGGTGCATCTCCTTTTAAGGGAGCTCATCTGCTAAGAACTCCAAAGTTAAGCGTGCTTGGCTTGGAGTAGTCTTGGGATGGGTGACCCCCTGAGAAGTTTCTCATGGCGCGCATGAGTGAGGACAAAGTGCGCGGTAAAAGGCTCGTGGTGATTTGTGAGGACAGTACTAGAGGTCTGAAGTAACTACCTCGGGTCTTGTTGGGCCGGGGTGTTACAACACCTATCTGGATTAAGAACTTACTTCAGCAGAATGCTAATGGTAGGAATATGAAGTTATAAAATGAGATTGAGAGTAGTAGAGAGAAGAATACAAATTGAGAAATTGAAAGTAGAATTGAATAGATGTGTGAAAAAATGATAGGAATTTGAGGTATTTATAGTATTTTTTACCACAAACTCACTCTCAAACGACTATATAGCCTTTGGCAATGGCTACATAGCCACTCCACCCCCTCCTAATTATTTTAAAAAGGGGAAGAGACCATTGGGACCGCTGGATCGGGACCAACCGGTTTGATCCCAAGTATTGTAACCCACTCGGTCACCCAATTTTGACCCGAGACCAAAAAAAGGATCCAGTTTGGTCTCAAACAGTTGCGAACCCGGTTTCAAGCCGAGTTCACCCCTAGTTTAGATTGGGGGATATGTATTAATTGGTACGAATTAGTATTATTAAAAGCCCCTTTTTACATCAAGAAAACAGCTATGAGTTTCATAGCCTTTCCTTCCAAAGTACTCTGAGGATGTTTTTACTTGGACTGTAATTTGCTGGTCTGGTCTGGTCTTGTCTGCTAATGTCTGGTTTCTTTGTAGTTTTATAACTATCCAAGTCTGGTCTGATCTGGTCTGGTCTTGTCCATACCTTAATGGAGATGTGCTTCCCTTTGTAATTAGAGAACCCGCTTTGATCGAATTGCATACACATTGAGGAAATAAACTTTTTTCTTTTGACTTCGTTCGATATTGTTTGATACTGTTTAAATTACTTTGCACTGTGTTATCATTATTATTTAAGAGTAATACTCCTTTATATAAATTTGTTTACCAATAAAAGAAAACGAGACTTTATTTACAAACATCCAAAAAGAAAATGAGAAGTTTATTTAGGGACGAAGGGAGTATATAGGAGTTTACAGAAAGTATTGTATACAATCTATTTTCAGTAATGCAAACAAAAAGTTCTAAACAAGGAAACACATCATCCTTCTTTCAAGAAATTTTATTGTGGTGCTTCTGCTTTTCTTTCCATTCTTCAATTAGAGCTTTTATCATAGCTTCAACACGGGCATGGAAGCCCATATAAGGTTCATAGCCGAAGAA